ACATTGCTTCAAAGTGTCATAGCGAAATGTTCACCAGTAAAAAGATACAAAATTTAACCTTGCCCTTTGACCCAATGACCTTGACCTTTGGTCAGTTGACTCCTTGTTTAATTCTGATCAACTTTGCTTCATCATGTCATAACAAAATTTTCATCAGTGAAAATATGTAAAATTTGACCTTGACCTTTCAATCTAATGACTTTGACCTTGACCTTTGACCTTGACTCTTTACCTCAGTGTGTCTTTTTGTGTAATTCCAAACAACTTTGCTCCATAATGTCATAGCGAAATGTTCACCAGTGAAAAGCTACAAAATTTGACCTTGACCCGATGACCTTGACCTTTGATCAGTTGACTCCTTGTTTAATTCTGATCCACTTTGCTTCATAATGTCATAACAAAATGTTCATCAGTGAAAATATGTAAAATTTGACCTTGACCTTTGAACCTAATGACCTTGACCTTTGACCTTGACTTTTTACCTCAATGTGTATTTTTGTGAACTAAACATCTTGATCAAGTTTCATGTACATTGGTCAATAAATACCAAAGTTATCAGCCAGAAACAAAATTTGTGGACGGACAGACAGAAAGACAGACAGAGTGATTACTATAGGGCACCCGTATCTCCGATATGGGGCCCTAATTATATTGTGATAAAAAAACATTCTGGCAAACTGTGGAACTGATTATATTTCAAAATGTCAAAATAAAACTAAAAATCTATTTTGGATTGATGTATTTAGGGCATGGAGAAAAATTATTGAAAAATATAAGTCCCCTAGCAGTAAGTTCAAAATGCCCATCTGGTATAACAAAAATATTACAATAGAAAATAGAAGTTTATTTTACACGGAATGGTACAATAAAGGAATAATTATAATTGATGATCTAATCAGAGACAGAAATACCTATGCTTTTGACACATTTCAAGAATTCAAACAGATTTATGATATTAATACAAACTTTTGCGATACCAGGGTCTAATTACTGCCATTAGAGAGTATATTATACAACAAGATATGTCAAATGTAGAGGTTAACTATCCATTTTTACCAATTAATATGGAAATGTTTTTGAAAAACAAAAAGGGGATGAGATTTTTATAGCTTATTTTGTAAAAATGCTACTATTTCAACAGTAAAAAATGGGATGATATATTTCAATTTGATGATGAAGTTTGGATTTTTTTAATATAAAATGCCATTTAAAATTACGAAAAATACCAAATTACAGTGGTTCCATTACAGAATTAATCAGCACATTTTGACAACTAATGCATATTTGTTTAAGGCAGGATTAGTAGATAGCCCTTACTGTGAACTGTGTAAACTATAAATAGAGACAATAGAGCATGTATTATGGGAATGTGACAAAGTACAAAATCTTTTACAAAATTTTGAGTTCTTATTAGATGCATTGATTATTCCATTTGATTATAATAAACAAACATTTCAACTATAATGGACTTAATAAAAGTGACAAAAGTATTATTTTAATAATAAAACAGTATATATACAAGTCAAGATGTCTTAAATGCCTTTATCTATACAAGGAATTAAAAGTTCAATTAAAGAGCATTACAGTATTCAAAAATATATTGCAAAGAGTAGAGACGAAATATATCTCATTAACTTCCAGAATGAGTGGGAAAAATAGAAAAGGCTTATTGATATTTCCTAGACCTACATTTTGCCGATTGTTTATATGTTTGATCTAATTTTAATTTATTTGAAAAAAAGGGAACAAAATTTAAACATTCAATGTATTATCTTAATTACTTAGCTACTGACACCTATATATTACCAGACTTCTATCCTTTAAATTGGTTTGTTTAATACTGGTACTTCTCCTCTTGTCTGTCTATCTTTCCGTTTGTCTGTCTGTCTGTCTTTCTTTCTGTTCATTTACCTGTCTTTATATCCTCTATTTCTTTGTTTTCTTGTTTCTCTTTTCTGATTTTCCTTCCTTTCTAATATAACATTACAATAAAATAAAATACCACTGACAAAAAGAGCAATATTAATTAGTATGAAAGTAAGTGTGAAAGTGGAAATCATTATGTAAAATGAAATGTATATGTTACTGTAATGTGAAAAATACTTTGAAAATAAAAAAAAATAAAAAAATAAAATATTATCTGTATATGAGGCTGAATTCATATTCAGCACAATAAAAACAAAGTATCTTTTAACGAACTGTTTACCTCTACGGTTACGGACTGGCTAAGGGAAATTTGATTTTCTTGAGCCTGGATCCTAAAGGGTAACGGCTGTTGTTGGATCTGAGCCACGGATGATCCTGGCTGATATAGGGTCTGAGCCACTGAGGATCTCGGCTGTTGTTGGATCTGAGCCGCGGAGGGTGTCGGCTGATGTTGGGCCTGATCTACGGAGGGTATTGGCTGATGTTGGGTCTGAGCCACGGAGGGTCTCGGCTGATATTCGGTCTGAGCCACGGAGGGTCTCGGCTGTTGTTGGATCTGAGCCACGGTAGGTATCGTCTGATGTTGGGTTCGGGCTATGGAGGGTCTTGGCTGAGGTTGTGCCTGGTCTACGGAGGGTCCTGGATGTTGCTGGTATTCGGACCACACATTCTCCGCCCTGGTATCTACAAACAAATGGAAATTAAAACAGCTGTCTATTTAGAGACAATTTTTAGTGTAAAATGTTTTCTGAGACATTCAATGAGAACAACCGCATTGCAATGGTGAAATGATTGTTCTATAATTAAGAAATCAATTTATATCTATAAACTATTTGATTAAAGAAAGACTAACATTGATAAGTATTGTAAACTTCCTTCTAAAAAATACAATTTGTGCAGCATACCAAAAGCGGCTTTGATGTCGCAATGGTCAACAGCCTGGTGCATTTTGACAATTCGTCTGTTGACGAATCCTCAAGTCAACATACACTTGTGTTCATCACACATTGTGTATATAAGCTTTATAAACAGATAAACACATATAACAAAATGAGACATTTGTTGTACTTTTCCTGTCCAGAAATTGGGAGCACCGGGCTATCAACAAATGCAACCTCAAAGCAACATGTTTAAGGAGGTTAGAGTGGAGTAATGGGGTAAGAGTCTTTGGTGTTTCCTACCTCGTTCATAAATTGTTGTAAGTTATGAGCTTGAGACCTGGACAATGCACGAGTTATATGTTGTCTTCATTTGTTGTTTGTGTAAAATTGTACATAAAAAGGTTATCATTTTGTCATATTTTTCTTTCTTCTGATGTAACATATAACACTTTAATCGTGGTGTTTCAATATCACGTTCATCCGACAGATTATAGAAATAATATCATTTCCACCCATGTAATAAGTTATTGATATCCATCATTCCTTGGAAAAAGAAGTTTTTCAAGGGGATTTAATACAAACCTTCGTTCGTTTCATCCGCGGAATCTACCGGACGGTCCTGATGACTTATATGTCTAGCTACCGTTGGGGACTGTGGGTTACTGGTTTCTAGGTTGTTATGACGACGAGTCTGCAAACTAATCCTTTGTGGGTACTGCGAAAATGTAGTATTTGTCATCTCCACATTAACCTTCAAGAAATGGAATTTCGGAAATTGAGATTCATTAACATGATGATAAAGAGTTATCATTCAAGTATATTTCTGAGGATTTTAATTGTTGATTTTTGTCGACACACTAAATTGAATAATCTTCCTCGCAATGTAATGAACTAATAAAAGCTCGATAGATAATTATAGCAAGATTGCGGAAGGGGTTTTCCTCCGAGATGTTAAGAAACCGTATTTTTCATTTCATTGTTTTCTCTCTTCCTGCATATGTAGCATTTGACAGAATACTTTCTATTAATAACAAGATACTTACGAATTTTTCAAGTCTACTTTGAACATCCGCGATGAAACTTTGACCCCGTTTGGCTTTAAGGTATGAGCAATTAGGGAACCAACGCACATGTTCGATCCACAAGTTGTCTCCTGGCTTCCAGGTATACAGATGCCCACCACAATGGAAACACACTAGCAAACCTCGAGCTATAAGTAAATATAATATACCAATTTAAACAAACAATAAATAGTATCCACGGAAATGTAATGAATGACACGCGATGGTCATATTTTAAATAAATTGGAAGCGAATATTAGGAATATTAAGTATGTAAAAATCAACAGCGGCATTGACATATTACCACAATATACTTAAATCAGAGCATTAATGTTATCTTTAGATTAAATCTTTACATAGAGATGATTTAACGCAGTTTTTGGCAAAATGTTTAAAATTCTATACAGTGTTTTATTAACACTTTGACTTCGTGAAATGATACCGTTTAAAACCTACCTCTACCATGACAAATATGGACCATCATACGCACCGTGCGACTAGAAGCGAACACTCTACTTCAACGTAATAACACCATTATGCCGTTTTAAATAAGCCAAAGCTTATCCCTTTTCTCTCTCTCTGTATCACTCCTTTGCCTCCTGACCAGCACCCATCTCTCTCGTGTATACATGATAGGTGGTCTCAGAACATGGCTTATTTGGTAATCTGAAGAGTCGAAAATGTCCATGTATCTGAGAACACGAGCCATGTATCCCAGTGCACTTAAATGAAAAAAATATATGATTTGGTCCAATATTTCCTGTACTGTGTAAATTTGCTTTCCATTTAAAGAAAATACCAGCAAACCCTGTAAAAATGAAACGTTTGTATTTAATGATAAACAGATGTTTGTCCACACAAATACAAAACAAGAGGCCAAGAGGTTAGTCAGGGGTTGTATTTATATGCAATTAAACAAAATCCTGTCATTTCTTCAGAAAAAGAAGTAATTTGAAGAGTTTGCTATGTTTCCACTATTGGGCCCGGACCCTCTGCCCCCAAGGGGGGTCAGACCCACCGTTGATACAAAATTAATTCCCCTTCACCCTAGGATGCTTTAGACCAAATATGGACATAATCCTCCTTCAGAAGAAAAAGGAGATTTTTAAAGAATTTGCTAAATTACCCCTATTGGGCCCCACTCCTCAGGCCCGAGGGTGGTTAGACCCACCATTCATACAAAATCGATTTACCTCTCCAATAGGATGCTACTGTTCAAATTTGGTCAAAATACCTTCATCCCATAGGAAGAAAAACGATATTAAAACTATCCCTCTCTGCCCCCAGGGGGATGAGACCCTCCGTTTATACAATATTGGTTCCCCTTCATGCCAAAATTGGACAAAATCCTGTCATTCGTCATTCCTACAGCAGAAGAAGGATTAAGATGAATTTGCTATGTTTCCCCTATTGGGCCCTGCCCCTTTGCTCCAAGAAGGGGGGGGGGGGGGGGGCTCACTCATTGGGTCCCTTTTGCCCAAGGATGCTCCAGACCTATTGAGACGAAATCCTTTAATCCCTATAGTAGAAGAAGGATTTTAAGCCTTTACCTCTATTACTCCTATTGGGCCCCGCCCCTCTGCCCCCAGTGGGGTTACACCCACTGTTTATACAAAATTCAATCCCTAGGCCAAAGGATGCTCCAGACTAAATTATGATAAAATCCCCTATTCCCTACGGTAGAAGAGGGATTTTGAAGGTTTTACCTCAATTTCCCCTATTCGGCCCGCTCCTCCGTCCCCAGGGGTGCCACACCCACAGTTTATACAAAATTGAGTCCCCTTGGCCCAAGAATACTTCAAACTAAATTAGTATAAAATCCCTTAATCCCTATGGTAGAAGAGGATTTTGAAGGTTTTACCTCTATTTCCCCTATTTGGCCCCACCCCTCTGCCTCCAGGGGTGCCACACCCACCGTTTATACAAAATTGAGTCCCCTTGGCCCAAGGATGCTCCAGGCTAAATAAGGATAACATCCCTTAATCCCTACAGTAGAAGAAGGATTTTAAAGGTTTTACCTCTATTTCACTTATTTGGCCCCGCCACCTCTGCCCCCAGGGGGGCCACACCCACCAGTTATATAAAATTGAGTCCCCTTGGCCTAAGGATGCTCAAAACCAAATTTAGTCAAAATCTATTTGGCCGTTCAGGACTAGTAGCGTTTTAAAGGAAAAGTTGACGAACGGACGACGGACGCTGTCGTATGGCATAAGCTCACCAAGGTACTTCGGACGAGGTGAGCTAAACATTGAATCAACATGCAAAGAAGATAGTCTTATTGAAAGATTTTGAACTAGTTATAAACACTTTACTTAACAGGCGTTGAGCTGAATAAAAAAAGTCAGGATAATGATGCAAAATCCAAGTAGGAAAACGTGTATTCCTGAAAGAGAACACAACACATGCAGAACAAGCACCATCACATGAGGATATGAGCACTATCTACACGATCACCAAAGAGTCTTGAGGATCAATACCTGTGGATTTCTTCTCCTATTCATCAATGGGGACGCTAATTAAGAAGTGATAAAACCTACGACGAAATGGCGCAAAAAGTAACTGTAGATATTTTGCATTCGTAAATAAATGCGGTTATTAAAGAAATAATTGTAAAAAGACACGTAGTCACAATATGTTTATTTATGATTTTATAAGGTTCACAAATATAGGTCAACGTGTATTTATATTGTATGATATATCAATTTAAATTCAGAATACAACCCACTAAATTGCCTTTCATCACATGCTTTAAAGATCAATAGTCACTGTAAAATAATTAATGGTGTAATAAATAAGGAACATTACCATTAAAAAACCAGGAATAAGATTGTGCTCCAGCGCATACAATGGTTTTATGCGCTTATATGTTAGAAATGTGAACTATCTTTTCAGGTTTTTTTTCCACTTATGACATATAATGCAGCGTTTCGGTAATTTGATAATGATATAAAACGTGTATTTGAGAATTGTTATAAAAGTCATACAGTAGCCGATTGGTGATCGGTGAACTTCTATTAATTGTCAACAACTTAAAAAAAATACCCATGAAAATGAACGGGGAGTTGCATTTGAACATTCAAATTCTACCAGACATTAGTGTTTTTTTCAAGAATGCGTATTTTTTGTGTGGGCTATCAAGGATTTTTATCTCTCCATAAGAAAAAGAAAAAAATGTCGAACAATATTTCTGAGAAGAGGTGACCTGTTATTGTCTAATTTTGTACTGTTCATTATACAGTTCATCACTGAGTTCCACAAAAGACATTATATAACCACATAAAACATACAGCGAGAAAATAAGCAACCAAACAAGGAAACTCAGAGATATGCCGATGCTGTGGATGATTATCAAAATGTTATTACCTCAAACGATTTATTTCCGAAGAGGGATATTGTGAAAAGACCAATAACATATATTCAATATATTCCATAAAACCATTGCTTTCAAAAAAAAAGTGAAACTTATGCATAATGCAAAAATATATATTGTATAAGCTGGCTCTTGTTCATAAATTTATAAGGTCACGTTCTTATATCTAAGTTCTAAGTATGTACCTGGTAACTAACTAGAAGGTGAGTTAGTCATACGTATCACGTGACCTGACAAGTTACTTATTTTAGGTAGTATGTTAATACGGGATGTCGATCGCTCTCTCCCTATTTGTATCATAGAAGTTATTTTATTTTATCCACATATGACTAACATATAACTTAAACTGAGAATGAAAACTGTGAACTTGCAGAGTGACATTTCTACCTGTTAATTACAAATGGCCTGGCCTCGGGATCATGAAACAGTCTTAGACTTAAGTCTTTGCTTAGTCAATCACGTATTACGTCACTTTTCATGTTATTTGTGCTTGATTAAGTCAAAACTTAGGATAATCATAGACTTGAGATTGTTTCATGATTTCGGGGCCAGTTTTCGAAAGACTTTGGACGTTATGGGTCATTTTTGGCCACCTAAAAGTATATAATTTATTTTGAATTTTTATTAACCAATTTCTGTTATAAAAATCATATTGGTTAATTGGGGCTATCTTTTCTAGTGCAGATTTTCCCCAATGCGCTTGGTAGATGCCCTACTATAGCAACAAAATTGCGTTGCTATGCAGATATAGCAAACATTTTGTGTTTTCGGACATTTAGCATGCAAAAATTAAAAGCCTCCGCATGTGACATACAGAAGCTACCTTCTAAGAATCAACACTGGAATGACAATGTTTAAGCATGTCATATATTTATTTGTTTGTTGCATGCGGAGGCTTTTAAAAATTAAAAAGTTTTTAGGTAATTTCCTTCAATATGGCCAATTTTCATCCCAAAAGCGCACATCAGACGATATTCAGGCATTTTATTATGAAAATGCGGGTTGATGTCTCTCTTCGTAATGCCATATCTCCTTAACCAGTTTACAAATGAATTTGAAATTTCATATTTGTGTACTCCATTTATTCCAGATCACGAATGTAACAACTAATACTAAATCCCCGATGATGCCGTAAAGGACCCTTAACGCCCCTAGTCCTTTATTTATCACACTGCGACAAAACAAGCGTCGATCTCTGAACTTGTAACTATCATAAAACAAAAACATATTTTGTGTAAATTAGCCAGAATAGTTCTATCGTGTGTATATTTTACAAGCGCATGTATTGTTTGTTGTATGCTTTGATTATATTTCTGCCAATATATATTTACCTTTGCAGAAGAACCCAGCTTCGGCCATCTGCGGATCATCTAGGCTGTCTGTCCCCCGAAATGTATTGGACCTCGAAGCAACATCGGCGTATTGAGGATACCTGGGTAAGCTGCCACTTACACTATAATTACCGGTCAGATCAGAGATCACTCGGGGCACTGTCATCCTATCCAAACCATGCAGTTCAGTTCGAGATGTCGAGTTGTACTGCTGCCGCTGCTGCAGTTCTGAGTTCTGCTGACGACTGACTTGTCTTTGCTGGTGTGGGGTCAACTGCGGGATCTATTCAAATGGACACAACAAAATATACAATACATAATGCAACGGAGTTTATCACAAACTGTCATACGATTTGGTTTTGCATACATGAAACACATCCGTGGCCGTCGACTTACGTTTTTAGTTTGGCTATGCCTTAGAGTGTCTTGAACAAGGTCGACAAACCATTGTTGCTTGTTTCTGATGACGAATCTGCAGTTTGGAAACCACCGCGCATGTTCAATCCATGGATCATCTTCAGCCTCCCACTTTTCTAACCCTCCGCCACAGCAAAAACATTTGGTACAGTCCCTCAATCCTGAAAAAAAGATGATTTCTAAAATATCATAATTGTATTATGATGAAGATTTTCTGTCGAGTCTAGATTTAATTCTAACCGTTTCTACATTGTCAACAGTATTTTTGTCATTGTTTTGTTTGTTTGTTTGATTTTTCGAAACTTATCTGCTATATTTTGGCACGTACCGGTAAAGTAAAATCCAGCATTAGCTAAGCGGGTTTTTTTCAGTTGCAAACGATATGGACAGCGACGATATGTCTGTAGCCTTTTCGCCTGCAGTTTGTATCCCGGGTACATGTACCTAGGCTGGGTTCCAATACCCAGGAACTCTGAAGAGCCATCTACCGATGCCTGTTCTGGGCTGGAAAGCAAAACTCGCCATATCATTTTATTGTTGGCAACTATTATACGTTTTTCAATTTGATGAATGATAAGAAAATGTGTTTTTACATATCTTTCCATGCATTTATAGACAAGGTGTGAAAGGAAGGAGAAATATAATATTCTTATAGATCTTTCTGTATACTCACAGTTACATCTTCGGTCTATTTCATTTTTTTCGCAAAACAGTATTATGATCACTAGTCAGGGAATATTTAACAGGATTTGAAAATGCTCCATTATACTTATTTCTCTCCGTGGCGAAGAGGAGTATGAGCACGTCGGTTCAGTAATAAAGAAATTAAGGATTGGAGATGTTGTGTTGAACTTGTTAGTCATGAAATCCTGTCACATTTGACCTTAATATAAATGATTCTTTGATAGTCATGAAATAATGTGTCATTTGACCTTGATATGAACGATTGTTTGATAGTTTGGGCTTGTTCAAAAGTGAGTATTCTTTTGACTACTCACATAGCTCCAGGAGAGAGGTTAAGTACATGGCAATATGCTTTTTGATAAAGTTTGCAACGATTCAAATAATTTTGATCATTAATTGTTAATCTGTTTTCAAAACAGGAAAGTAGTTTAGCAGCATTAAACATTAAATACTACCTAATCTCTGTCAGCTGGTTTGCGATATCCGACGATATGACTGGCCGAGAGTCATTGTTATCTGTGCTATCCCCAGTAGTTCTTCGTAAAATCCCGTCATTTTCTTCCTCTTCCATACCTTGGGTGCCGTTAATGGTCTCAGATGGATCGGTGTCACTCACTGGGTAAACTATGATAGTACATTCTGCCGGGCGAAATTGTTCGGCAAACAGCGCTTCCGAAGTGGTACCCTTTTCTAATCCACCATTCGTGTCTTGTAGACAACTGTCAGGTGGTTTAGCTTTAAGGTTGTTATTCGTTGTGTCGTTCACGTTGTTCAGCAGTCGTAGATTTGAGCCCCAATCGGTCAAAACAGGGTCTTGTCTCGTCACTGCTTTGGGTTCATAGCGTGAAGGAAACAATATTTGCTCATGTGTTTCTGTACATTCCTTAATTTGACTCTTTTCAGTATATAAATCTTCATCTTTCACTGGATGTACACTCTTGCTGATAGCCCTTTTGACGTGATACACTGAATCTACACTGCTGGTGGTAACACGATGATCGACAATACATCTATTGTTAAAATGTCTTTTAATATACACACCAACAACTATAAGTACCTGTACTAGTGCAAAGACGGCTACCATGAAAAAGAATGAAGCATCATTCCAAATGGGATTCCCTGTGAGTGGTAAGACCTCCGATGTAAATTCAGCCATATTGTTGTTGACGGGAGGTAACGTCTTCCTGATAACATAATAAGAATTAAACAATATGTAAACAACTGCATTAGTTTTTAAACTAGAAAACACCTGAACATAATATCATCGGGTTCACAGCCATAAAAATGCAGACTGGACATTTTTTCATCCAGGAGCAGGTTTACTGAACTTTATAACCCTGTCAGTTTTTCAGTCAGCTTTACACATTGTATGATAAACAAGAACAAGGTCACTAAACAGTAAAAGGTCAATTAACACATTTTTTGTTTCAATTCGGTGTTGAAAACTATGCAGTTATTAAACAGCTTTTAGTGTGATTACAGAGTGTAGCGAATGAACATTAACAAAAGTATATGACTCCAACGTTTGGATAACAAGCTCTTGCATTAATGATGTAATAATACATTGAAAACCACGTATTGACATATTAATATATCTTTTATGAAACTTGATGCTCATGTAGAAATAGTTCATCACTCAATCTGAATTTTATTTAAACTAATCAAATACTGACTTGGTCACATGTTATCTTATAAATACGAAATAACAAACACAATCTATATCAGGCGGGTAATCTGAGGTCTAAAAACAGCCGAAGTTCCATGGACGACGTGCTAATTTCATCATACAAAAATTATTTTCAATCTTTAACAATGAGAAATGATACCTAATGAACTTCTATTAAATAATATGTTCATTGTACATGTCACGTGGTTTCATAAAAACATGAAAGATGCGAAAGTATCTCGTGATGAAGACTTAATTGTCACATTCCTTCGGCGACAACATAAGATACACAGTAGATGTGTCAAAGACAGACAGCACCTTGAAGAGACAGACAAATCTTAATGTTCTATGGGTCATTATCAATAGCTGTCTAGATATGGAGATACAAGCAGAACAGTTACATCAAAAGTTTTATACAAATAGCCAACAACATTAATAATCTTAATGTGGACTTCAAATAAACTTGGTGTATAACATGGCTCTAGGGCCCGTAATCATGAAACCGTTTTCATGCTCAAACAAGGATTTTATGCTGAAGTTCCCGTTATAAATTTTAAAAAACACCTTAATTTGTAAATGATTTGGAAAAACATCCCAGAGACTTTAAGCAGAAAACAGTTTTCAATGTTTGCATTTTAAATTGTTGATCGTTTGACATGATGTAAGTGAGTAACAAGAACGCTTTTTTGAGCACAGACTCCATGCCTGAGCATGAGAACGGTTTCATAAATACGGGTCCAGGTTACCCCGGAGTGAACCCCTGGTACTTCACAATACTTACCTGGGTTCAGAATGGAGTGCAAGCCAGGACTAAGGAGGCTCAGAGAACACTTTAATTAACCTTTAGTCTACACACAACTGTAAATGAACATTCTCTTACAACGGTTGGTACAAATTTATCAAAAGTACCGTATAAGCTGATGTATCAGTTAAAAAGGTTGTATTAGTTTGAACATATTAAAGTAATGACATGGTATTCTAAATGACACTGGATTTATTCTACATATGGGTATTTATTTCATCATAAACAATCAACTCACAACTCTTATAGTTTATCATTAAGCCTATTACACATCTCAGTTCTATATTAAACCATATCTTGTAAAGCTTAATCTAAATAAACGAAAAACACGATATAAACACATACAATCTTAAATCTTATATAGAAATAAAAATATAGAATCGTTTACCTCACGATGAGTAGTTATATCCTCTGTTTAAGCACTATGTGGAGGACAAATTAAATCAAATATCGTAAGTGGTTACTCTGTCGATCCAATAAAATTAAAATATTAAACTACCTGCATGTAATAATTAAGCGACATGATGTAAGGTATTACTTCCCTTTGACCACTCATTAATGCAATAACTATTTCTATGTGTTGACTAATTTTAGCCATTTCAATATACAACTACAGGGGCGGGTCCAGGTGAGGGCGTAATGGGCGTACGCCCCCCTCCCCCCCTTTTAAAAAAAACAACAACAAAAACTATCGTAATCTGCTAATATTGTATTGAATATGGCAATTTATCATATTCATTAATTAAACAGATAAACACCCTGACACTTTAACTATAAAATATACATGCTCCAAGTCAGGAACCGTTACATTAGTGCATTTCACAATCATTTTATGTTTTTTAGCTAAAAAAGGTCCAAATTGTTTTTCGCCTCGCTCCGCTCGGCGAAACATTTTTCTACGCCCCCTCTTTCAAATATCCTAGAAACGCCCCTGAACTATCTACTTCATATGCAATTTTTTTGTCACTCATATTATATTTATCGGTTATCTTTTACCTTTCTGTATAATCAATGTTTTGAATTGTCAAACATCGAAATTAACTGGATTTCTACAAATTGAGTACAAATCATTATCTTTATAATACATTACTGTATGTTTACCTTTTATCACTTCCGGTTAAACAATCAAAGGAAACATCAGTGATTGGGTAAAATACCTAGGTTTGTACTGTTAATCTGAATTGATACCCAAGTATGATCAATTTTAGACATTTGGTAAATCATTATATCCTTTGAATTGCATGATTGACAGTGAAATACTCAAACATATAGAATGGAATGTCGCCGACATTTTGACACGTGGCAACTCCCGCGAGATGAGTACAGGGATGTTCATCAAGCCTCTAATGCGTCAGTTTCTGAAATAATCATATAACTGTGCATATGTGTACATGTTGTGTTCAACATGATGTAAATAAAATGTATCTATTTTAGTATTTCTAGTCCTACATTCGCGATCATACCGATATATGAACTTACCTCCGAAGAAGCGGAAATAACTACTACGCATGCGCGTGTGATTACATCACATTTAATTTTACAAATTGTACTAAAGGATTATGAACCTTTTCATAATTTTTTGGAGAATATTTTAAGTCGTTTTCCTCACAATTTTAAATAATTAACATTGTTCTGGAACATAAAAAGCTGTATTTGCAAATGAAAAAAACAACAAAAAACGTTCAGATAATACAATATAATATAATTGTTTGGGGCGATTTCGGTAAAGTTTTAGTTAATTCCTGTTGAACCTGCTGAAAACATTTTTTTTCTTTCTCATTTTATATCGTATCGTATTAAGTATCGTTCAACATTATTTAGCATTTTAACGTTCCTTACAAAAAGAGCATTTTCAAGTCTGGAACAATCATTACAAAGGTGGAAAGAAATCTTATTGAAAAGTAATACCAGATTAAAAATCGTCCATTCATCAATTCTCTTAAACTCGCAGTACCACTATCACCACGGTCAACATAAAAATACATTCACTGTATATGTTAGTCCCGGTATTTGCTCATGGTACTTTCTTTTCCATGACAGATAGCAAAAAAATGTTCTATATACAAAAATCTTTGATGTTTAAGACTGCTGAGCATACATCTAGGACACAAATTAATTCTGAAAGTCAGTCACTTAAATAGGAAGTCAGGAATGAAATGCATACTTTTTGTACCATGAAAAGAAATAAATATAGATCCATACCCCATTCTACCAGCTTAAACCTCCTGGTGTTGTGAGTGTTCACCTGGTCATACCTCGTTGAAGTTACTTGTGTGTTCTCCTGGTCTAACCTAAAGAGCTTCAACTTGGTCTTTTTTACACCCTCCTTGTTTTGCTAATGAAGGGTTTTATTGATACCTTCCGCTTTTGATGTATTTCTACATATGTTTCAGAACACCATAGTCGTAATTTTTCATTCTTTTAACCTCGAGTAATAATAATGAGTCCTACATGGACGAAATGGTCATACGGTGCGGTTGTTCAGATTTCTGCATATTGATACTTTTTTCTGTTGAATCGTTGTATGATAATATTACAAAGACATTACTTGTTTCATATTATCATTTTTAAACGATAGGTTACGTTTTTTACTAATAACTAACTTTACTTACCGTGAAAGTGTCTTTCTTGTGTCAATTTGTAAAATTTAGTCCTGATGCAACAAAAATCAATGACTCCAGCTGTACTAAACTTTCTTGCACAGAGGATTTATTTCGTCACAAGATCAGTAGTACTACATGACGTTTTAATTATTTCAGCACATGTATTATTATTTACACTAATTTATTTAAACAAAATCTGAGCAAGAATATGAGAGTAAAACTCATTATGGAATTCAAACAAGTTATCTATCTTTTCTAAACTTTGGTGTATAGAGAGCTAAACGTGTTTCAAGAAATTATTTGTTAGTTTCAGAAAAACACGTTGTATGGTTCTTCGAATATTAAATAACGATATATTGTACTGTACATACATTGTACGTTCTTTCGTAATATTTAATTTTCTTCAATATCCACAATTTTACAATTGATGAGTAAGTTTTTCGCATACATAATTCTCAAATTTTATATTAAGATATTAAGAAAATAAAAGAATAAAAATTACTTAAATAATTTTGTAAACAAAAAATAATTTAATTTGAAGGGAAAAGTTGTTTCTTGAGTTATTTTCTATAATAAATGCATGTTCCACATGACCTTCTTGTTAGTAAAATACACGGAACATATAAAACACGAAATCACATAATAAAATGTTGTTATAATTTTATTACACGAGAGTAAAAGAAAATATGATTTATTTTTATTTTTTTCTTATGCATTCTAACGATACCAAACAGTTACATTGTTATGCAGAGTATTAACATAAGTGTTTTATAAAATTGCAAACTACCGCTTTTCTTTTGGAGCAAGTGTGGTTCTTAGTCATTAATTTATTACGTAATATGGAACGGGACACACTAGTTCAATATTTATTAGAATGATGGTAATGAAAACATGTTGAGATGAAAAGATATCTTTGCAGTGCTTCGTTTTATCATAGATGATTGAATTCGTACGGTTAAGTAATACAAAAATCAATTGTTACTCATATGAAAGTGAAACTGATTACTCAAACACTATTTTTTTCATATTCTAATACAAAATGTTTGTATTCAGTGTATTTCTATGCATCTTATTTCACAGCAGAAATGTAATATTAAACATATTATGATAGGAGACAAACACTCTATAATGAAGGATACACTACGACAAACAATTAAACATATAACGGTCGAAAATAAAGGGATTAAGTATACCATTATATCATTCTTACAATCATTTAAACATCACTTAACTCGTGCTGGTTGGCGGCATCCCAAATATATCTCAACAAATGCTATCATTTGACAAACAAAGATATAGCAAATAACATCTGATATGATCTACCGATACTTTGACCCACAACATGTGTAGCCTTTCGTCTTATATAACGCAATAGGCCCACAGAATGACCTACTAAGTACCTAATGTATAGCGTGGATACTCATAAATATTGCATACCTCATATATAACCACTGACATGGCAGACAGAATAGCTTCAATATAACATTATTTAAAAAGAGACATGTACCTGTATCTGCAATCACACCGACTTATCAGGGAATGAGCAATGTATCTCCTATGATAAGAAAGCGAGTTTGATCTGCGAGGAATGATCGTGTAGGGAATAACAGGTATTGGCGTGCTCACGTGCTCACCCATTAACCCAATCTCTCACATACCTTTGTGTGACGCAATATGTAGGCGTGGGAGCTTACATGATAATCCAATATACTCCATGTGCAAAGTGATACACATAAGGCGAGGGACAAGATATAGTCTGTCTGAAACTCAGGTCATGTTTATTAAAAGGCTGGCACCAGTATCTTTAATTTTAAGAGACAAGAATGAAACTTCTATAATTTTGATTTTTTTGGATGTTTGGTCCTGAGTAAGTCTCAGATAAGGGAGAGCTAAGCTGGTAGAAAAAGTACGACTGGACAATTCTCTGCAAAAAAACGTAGGGACTAGTAGTCAGTCTAGTTCATTTAAGAAAAGCATCGAAGCCACTGTTAGGCGTTTGTGTAATCCTCCACCAGCCCACCACACTGCCGACAGGAAGGTTGTGACCGAACACACATCCGGCAGTAGACGATGTGTCCACAGGGATGAAGTTGGACGCCTACGGGCCTATTTCTGCAAACCACGCACATCATTTGCCCGTCCAGATAATAATTTTCTGAAGTGTAAATTTGAAAAAATATTAGTTAGATGTAGAATGTATAGCATTTTTTACTGAGGTAGCTATATTTTATTATTTTATGAAGATTGGATGTTTTGCATGTGTATTGTCTGTGTAATAATTATTCTATCTTTGTTTATTTTTGCTTAAGCCTGACACATATCGAAAAAATAATTTGAAAAATTGAAAAACAGTACATTATATTTACCATCAACGGTTCCATCTCGAAGACCATGAGATACGCGACTAGCATAAACAGTCTGAAAAGTAAAATAAATTTATCAAATTATATGATCGTCGTTTCCGTTTTTGAATCGTTTATTTTATTAGGCGATATTATAAATATAGATGTAGATATATATCCAATAGGTATCTAAGCAATACCTAATAACTTACCGACACACATTATCCTTTCCAGTGAAAGCACTGACGATGTAATTTGATTTATTAAAAAATACAACAGCTTCCTGCACGGAAACATTGGTGTTTTAGCGCTGCCTTAGCCATCAAAGGACATATGCATAATTATGTTATAACGCTATATCTAACTATTGAATAACAAATAACTTCGAGCTGGGTCAATGATTGTCACGCAAAGAACCAATTACAATTTGTCATGCTCACCCGACAGTCACGTAAATTTCCGACTCTGATCACGGGGCCCCTCTGTGTGCTACCTGTTGTGAAAATATTTCATTAAATCAATCTTTAAAATTACGTTTTATTAGAACAAAAATAATCAATTGTAATTTTGAAACTATCGTCTTTACAGGTTAAATCAATAAAGCCTACAATCATATTTGTTCCAGTTTTAAGCTTAAAATGAGATATCATACCTTTATTCATACATATCATACATTTATTCATACATATCATACCTTTATTCATACATATCATACCTTTATTCATACATATCTAATTATGCATGTTCTGTGTTCAAATTGAAAGTTCTCATATACATTATCCAAAAATCTGAAACCTTCTAAATAAGAATTATATAGCGTAAACGTTGAATAAACTGAAACCCTTTGAATACGCATTATCCTGCGCAAGCATTGAATGTGTAAGTGACAACTATTTCACGATTTTCTTCCATTCAGTCAAATATAAGTGCGATGTTGAACCCTATACGAACTAACAAACAAACAAATTGTGCAAAGATTGCAATCCACAAATGAGACAGCATTGTTGTTTTATTAACAGGCAAGCCCATAGTAATTATTTCCATGAGTGACTCTCAATTTGATCGAATATATATACAACGTAGTTACCATAATGATTAATTAATTTAAGGATACTTTGAAATGAAATATGATATACAATGTATATAGAGTAATACTAAGTAAAGGATCAGGGGAGATAATTCCAACATGGTAAACGCAATGGGGATGAACTCATAGGACATCACACACACAAAACCACAATAACTCACAATCATATATCCAACACACATATAGTTATTATCTCACATTAAATGAAGCATAGTCATAATCAGTAATTCATATGTATAGTAAGAGTAGACATTGACCAAAGGTCCATGTGCATGTATGTGCACAGATCATTGCTACTTATATTGTTAATATGAAGTAAATTAGTATATTTGAATAATGTTACAGAAAAGTAATACATATTATTATGTTTATTATATTGGACAGAAAATAAAAAAAATAAAAAACTATCTTGCTCAACTGCAATCTCATCTATCATTATACATAAACAAGTTTATACTTTTATATTCCGATTTACAATTCATATTGAAATAAGACATACATATATTTGAACTACTAACCCTCAATATAAAGCATCATAACTTTCTGTGTCCTATACAAAATAAAACGCCTGCTTCCCCCAATAAAATCTTAATGTGATCTAGCAAAGAATAGTATTTGCCCTTCTTTCACTCTCGTTTTTAAACATTGTAGTTTATTTTGTAATATTTTAAACAGAGCAAGAGATGGAGAGTTCCACATATCAGTATTCATAGTGTTTACATTGCGGTACAAAAAGGAGAAAAACTGTAAAATAGTTATTAGTTGTACATATAGATGGGTTAAAAAGTCTGATTTGTCTTGGAAAGAAGGGATTTTTATTCTGATCGTTAATAAAAGGATTTGTGACATCTTTTACGTATTGTGGTGAGAGTCTATGCATTATCTTATATATCGTTATTTGTTTATGTGTATGCCTCCTTGCAGACAGAGTTTCCCAATCAAGTTCATTGGAGTTTATTATGCGATGTCCCAGAACGAAGACAAGTAATAAATCTAGCAGCTTCTAATTGTCCAGATTCCAGTAATTCAATAGATTGTATCCCATACTACATCTGCATACTTCAAAATTGGTTTTATAAATGATATTTATTTTAAAACGTGATTTACGACCTACCTAAGATTTGATATAACGAAGAATATGTAGTTTGTTTTATGCTTTTTATATATATACATGTGTGTGCTGTTTCCATGATGCGTCGTCTGTAAAAGTTAGTCCTAAATGTTTATGTGATTCTGAATCAATGATTTGATGATTATGGAAAGATATTGGATTTTTGTCTATGATGACATACAGAGAAGTGTCATCTGCAAAAAGTAGAAACATTGTAAGTAATGTTATTAATATAAAGAAGACACAGAAGCGGTCCCAGAATCGACCCCTGACGCATCCCTGCATTTATAGTCCTAAACTGAGAGTGATTTCCTTCAGTGCTAACAATTTTCATTCTGTCTGTTAAATAATTTTCAAACCAGAGTTACACTTGAATAACCACCATAGACTTGTATGCCAAACCCGATCAAACGCTTTGCTAATATCACAGAATATACATCTAAGCTCCTTACCCTGGTACAAGTTACTAACATTTCCATTAAATATAAACAAGAGCTGATTAACTATTGAATCACCAGGTGTAAATCCAGATAGGTGCTTAGTGACTATAGATTTCTCCAACATGTAGTTATAAAGATATTTTAACACATTTTTTTCCATAATTCTACTAAAGCATGAAGTTATTGAAATAGGTGTATAGTTTAAAACATCATTAGATGATCCATTCCCTTTATAAACTGCATTTATATTTGCTTGTTTCCAGCTATTTGGAACCACTCCTGTTTCAGGAGTCTTATTAAATAAGATCATAAGGGTTAATTTAAGGGAGGAATTCCATCTTTTAATACTTTTGGGAACAATTCCATCAGGTCCAGAGGGCCTATTTATATTAAGAGTATTAATTTGGTCAGTTTCAACTTGTTCAGTTAAGTTAATATTAGATAATGAATGAGGAATGACAGGTTGTGCTGTGTGCGGGCGTTGGAGGTCGGGTGTGGATATGGATATAATAATGAAGTGATTATTGAAATCTCAGCTTAATCAATAGGATGGCGAACACCTTGATTATCAATGACAAGAGGAGGAACAGGAACAGGTTTATTGGTGAAGTTAGAAATAGATTGAGCAATTGCCCAAACTTTCAAAACCACCTTCTTCATATTTTAGAATAGTTTTCTTATAAATTGCTTGCTTGAATACACTGCATGCACAAAGGAATGATCACTACAGAAAGGCGGTGATGTATAAGTATTTTTATTATATTTCGGTTGTTTGTAAATACATTGTGTATAACATCAATGGAAGCGTTATGAGATATCAGAGAGATTTTCATTAAGATACTGAAGTATACTAACCATCAAAGTCTTCGTTCAGATGTCTTTGTCTCCTCTGGAACAAAGGAGAACTTTTTCATAACTATAAGTATAAACATAAAAATGCATTGTCGTTTTTAAAAGGCCGCAATGGTGAGCAATGACAGACAAAGTCATCAGTATATTCTTTAAGATTACTCATTACATTATTTCAACCGTACAACTCTCATCTATTGCGGTTTACTTTGGTTATTTAAGGCTTCCTGCTCAAAATGTGTATCTTTAAACAGTAGAAGCATCCATTTTTGACATTATAAAATAAAAAATCATAAACAAAATTAGAGGATAACCGCTTGAACAATCTTTAAAGCGCCTCAAAACTATTTCTATGACTTCGTATCAGTAAAATGGGTGTGTAAATTCAATGCGCAAGTAAATGATTGTATGAAATCTGCATTACATTTCGCAAGTAAGTTAATCGAATAGACTGCTTGACAAAGGTGACAAATGAAGTTATGTGATTCAAATGTCAGTTTATCATTCAATTTTTCATCTTTTGATTTAATTTCACTGTTAGTGTTTTTGGAAAATTTAATATTTTTGTACTATGACCACAACGATTTCTGTCACTTGTGAAAATATTTCCAAAAATCCGTATGCTTGACGTCAACAACATTTGTTTTTTTTGTAGAACATATGTGTTCTTATACTATTTCTCTTACATATTGACGTAACCTACCTCGTCATGGTGAGGACGTTGCTGTCTGCCCTGGTGAAGAACCTGATGATCCTGATGCAGTATCAGATGGGCAGGATCAAGCCTTTCATAGTCATTAAGATTTATAAAAGGACTAGGCTCTGTAATAAGATCAGGCACTATTCCGTATTCCATATACCGATTATCCACCGGCACTTGCTGGTTCTCTTCGTGCAGTCTAGGAAAAATTCCATTCAGCAGGTCACCATCCAGTGGCATGCGATCCAGTGGTTCATGATAATCCCCATGACTTTGCAAGCTTGGCGGTTGTTCCAAAAGTAGGTCATTAACCATTAATGATTCTTCATGTGGAGATAGTGTATTACGTTCCCTATGATGCACGGGCCCCTGCAACCGTCTCCCCTCGTGATTATTAGATACACAATTCTGTAAGGATGACGCAGGAGTTTGATCCTGACGAACAGGTAAGCGATTCCATGAAACTAGATCTTGAGACTGATCCTGACAACCAAACCTGTGAGGGTGTGACAGTGACCCTGGATGTTGATTGTTAGGACCTGTGACGTGCCACTGTGAACGTGGGGGAAGATTTTTGCAACCGGGATCGTTCATCAGTTGGCGCGGTCCTGAAGGTTGATCTTTGCGACCGGGATCGTCCATCAGTACGCGAGGACCTGGGGTTTGATCTTTGTGACATGGTGTGTCCAACCGTGTGAGCAGCCATGGGGGTTGATCTATGAGACCGGGATCATTAATCAGTAGGCGCGGACCTGGAGGTTGATCTTTGTGACCTGGATCGTCCATCAGTGGGAGCGGACCAGGGTATCGACCTTTGAGATCGGGGTCGTCAATCAGTAGGCGCGGACCTGGGGGTCGATTTTTGTGACTTGGATTGTTCAACCGTTGTTGCCGTAATGGGGGTTGATCTTTGTGACAGGGATCGTCTATCAGTGGGCGAGTACCTCGGGGTCGATCTTTGAAACCGGGATCGTCTATCAGTACGCGAGGACCTGGGGGTCGATCTTTGCTACCGGGATCGTCAAACCGTGTTTGCAGACGAGGGTGTTGATCTAAGTGTACGGGATCGTTCATCAATGGGCGCGGACCTGGGAGTTGATCCTTGTGACTTGGAACGTCTAACCGTTGTTGCGGCCATTGGGGTTGATCTATGCGACCAGAAACGTCCAGCTTAGCTAGAGGTCCGTGGGGTTGGTCTTTGCGACTGGGAACGTCCAACTGTTTTTGCCTATATAGAATAAGTAAGAAAAACCTCTGAATATTCAACTGTAAGGGTGTCAGCTGTTATTCTGTTTGTTTTTAATTCATCGTCAAAATGCAGAATGCTACTGAAGCTGTGAATTGTTCATATAATTGACCGATTATATGTTGAAAAATATTGTTTGAAATACGTTATTTAAATTTGTATTAATGTATAATCAATTGTATTTTGTACTTGGTGCGACCCTTACATGCTATTTTTAAATATACTTGATTTACCCGCTGGTATCATCCTCTTCTTTGAAGTCTTCTTCCGGCGCCAGTGGTAATATTTTCCTGAAAAGGCAACCACAATGATTGATATCCGAGATGCAGACATCATAGGGACTAGATGTGCAATTATCTAACCTTACAAGAAACAATCGAACAGATCGTTTGTTTAAAAAAATTTAGTGTTATTAGATTTGTTTCATTTCGATTTCATGAACGTGCAAAGAGACAGCATAATATCAATAATATCTAAGATAAGCATCATTTAGCAAGTTAATACAAATATAAATATTCATATCGTAACTTTTAATGATGAGAGTACACTTAGGAACATCTGTATGAATATTAACAATATCGCAACATCTTTTAAGCTATCATTATTAAGTTAATACTATACATACGCCCTACTAAACGCCCCTCTCTTACACTTTTTCTTATCACTTTTCTAGTTCGATTACTTAAAATGTGTCAGCAATTGTTTTTATGTCAAAATTTAGAATAGTGCTACAATCGTTTTCATTTCTCCCTATTGTTAAGCGACTAGACAAAGTATTAGGTCTCGTGCAGCAAAATGTTTTCGGTATATGGGTTACATTTTTAATGAATTGTATTGCAATGTACTGGATCGTATTTATACATATATATTAAACACGCACACATATATATATGATATAGAGATATAAAGTTAAAGATATATAGCATGTCTATAATGATAGTGTTTATGTCAAAGTGAAAAAGCACGTAACCAACCATCAATTATTGATAAAAATAGCATGAACTGATTCCCTTCAGCGAGACTTTATCTCGTTTTGAACTACAATGACTAAGTATATTATTCAATTATTTTTACGTATACCTACCCATTCGCGACTTGAACTGCCAATGTTTCTGTTGGATAATCTTTCAGAGCACGTATCCCAATTCGTGCTACTATAACATCTTCGTGTACTTCAATGGGTTCTGCTTTGCCTTGGTTGGGTAAATATTGTACATGGCTTTGTTCCCAAGCAAGTGTTGTTGTTGCAAAGTCGTTTGGTAAACAACTGTGTACGCCATCGTTGTTGCTAGACTGGAGGTTTACGGAAGTTAAAATACCTCTCTCTTGTTCATTATCCACATCATAGCTCATGACCTGTTCTTTAGTATAGTTGGTTCCTGCAACGGTAGAACACTCCTTAGCGTCAGATTCATTTCCGGACACCTTTTCACCGTTTGCTATATTTCCAGTATTGTTGGAATGGGTTTGCATGTGGAGAGCGTTAAGATCGCGACTGATTGTGTTATCATCCATATTTTCATTTTCACTGTCATAGATGATCCCTGTGTCAGTGTTTCTGCTCTGACTAGTCGCCTGTCTTTCTTCTTTGCCCTTTTCTTTGTTTCTTTCCTTGCCTTTAGTGCCATGTGGCTGATGATATGGATTTTCTCCTACTCCATTCGTAGAATTTGATAATTGGTGACTACATATCTGATGCACCTCTGCTGAATCTCTTGGTTTTGTCTTGGAGTCAATACAACCACTTGCACTGTCCCCTATTCCTTTTCTTGTACTGTTTTGTGGTTTCCCCTCCTGACGATGAACTGGAAGCACCACACGTTTGAAATGAATGGCCGGTGACAAGAGATAGCTAGATAGTGTACGGTTCAACAGCACTTTTTCGAGCAAATTGTTTTCGTTATAATTTCTTTTGTTGCAGAAGTGTTTACACATTGTATAGATTGACTGTTTGTGGGGGGTCGGTCTCGGTCGATAATCAGCTGGTTGGGATTCAGTGCATTCTTCTATATGACTTCCTCTTTCATTGTCTACATCATCGTGTTTTACCGTATCAAAGTCTTCCTCAAAAGGATTATCACGGCCATTAGTGTATCTTTTCTTGAATCCAAGTGTATAGAAACATACTAGTATCAGCCCATAAAATATGAGAAGCAGCACCAGAAACAAAAGTAAATACACTGCTTTTAAGTACATATGAATGTCGACCGTTAATAACATGAATGCCATATCTTCCAAGATTATGGCAACCAATATTTAGATATGTTGCTACGTCTCATCAGATGATAGTGAATCTGAAAAGTTGAAAGTTTAACGATATAGGAAAATAGAAGACAAAACAAATGTATACCACAACAAAATAAAACATAGCGTTCTGTTAATATAACATGCATGTACTTTTCAACTGAATTTGTCATTATATCTCGTTCATGAACTTGAGCGTATTAATAATCACTAATACGTAAATATGACATTGCATTTCGGCTTTAAAACCTCCCAAGTCTTCCGTCTGAGGAGAACATTCTTTGGTTATTGTAACTTTGACGTTAATGTTCGCTCAATGTTTTCATTGTAGCCATACAGGAGTGTTATCTAACCAGCTAATTCGATGATAACACTACTACATATTTTCATAGCTTACTGATTTCGGTTCGAACTGTATCCTTTTCTTTGAAATTACACACACACACACACACTTTTAAAACTAAAACTTATTCTAATATGAACTATGTCAAAGGTAAGGTTTGCCTTTAAAGTTAGGATATCTTGCTTTTGCCAAAGGTGTCATATATTGTGACATCACGTCGCGCTGATGAAATGCAGAAATATGATCAGTTTGATTTCAATAACTCGTATTCGTTACGCTCTAATATACAGAAAGTAGATAAATTATATTGACAATAGTTATTTATGTTATACACGTATATATTCCACGTTATACATTTATTTAAAAGTATATTTTTTATCTTATTGCCCATGGGTGACCTGTAACAGAAGCAAAACCGTATCCATTCAACTTTCGGCTGTGTTGGGCTATATCGGTAGTAGCTTAGTCAGCTGTCAACCTGAACACAAGCTGACATTTTTTCTTAAACCACACATTTTTATAAGATATGTCAATGGATAACTTTCTAGCTATCACTATTAAATAGGAGTCCCTCTGACTGCCTGCAGTGCTAGAGTGTTATTTGGCGAATTGTCTCGATTTTTTTCTGACATCTGACTCTGATGACTCGATGCCCTGTGGCTTAGCGAGTTGTTTTAAGCGGTTTAGAGTCGAGACACCGGTCATTTGACTCTTTAATTGACAAAGGAATAGACATTTGCGAAAGCTCGCAAAATAAGCTTTTGAATACTGTTTGTGTTCAAAACAAACATAGCATTTATTTTAACTTTAACATTATTCGGCAAATTCCCTCGACAAAGGCCAGTTTTCGGATATTCCTACACATTACAGATTTGAATAATAATTATGAGTGAGTTAAGATGACATAACATGTCAGCTGTAAACGTCTATGACCTGTAAAGTTGTTAGTGTTAAACCCACACACTTGTGTGGGATCTGTGTGTGTAGCCATCTGTGGTCTCATCATATGTGCACGCATTATGTAAAGGGACGGTATTTATCACACATTGTTCTGTGTAGGATTTTCCTTTCTAACAGCATACTTTTAGGTTGTAATGAGTTTAAAATACATATGAATCGCCATATCAAAAACTATTAATGAATGCCGAACTGTATATTTATATCTTACACCTGTCTATAGGTAGCACCTGTATAATGCTTTCTATCACCAGTGTGATGTACCATCTGTCAATAATTGTCTATATCTATCACTTTCCTTTACCTACAGCCTATGCATCCTACCTGCCTATATATACCACTTGCCTATGACAACATCCTATCTATATATTCCACTTGCCTATGACATCATCCTAGCTATATATACCACTTGCCTATGACAACATCCTATCTATATATACCACCTGTACAGATATATCGTATACATATCTATGAATTCTACCTGTCTTCATCTACATTTGCACCACCGTTTTTTGAAAACCATTCGTCTTCATCTATCATCTCCATAATTATATAAAATACCTGGTTTTAACTACCACATGTATGATTACCAGTATATCATCATCTGTCTATATATATCACCCGTTTTCCACCTGTATAATTATATCTAACACCTATATAAAACATATGACTCCTACCTGTCTATATCTACCACCTGTCCACATCTACTAACCGTTTTAAAAGCAATTTCATTGTGTCTATCTACCACATGTATGATTATATCTAACACCTATATATGACTCCTACCTGCCAATATCTACCACATGTTTCAAAAACCATTTATATCTATCCACCACATGTATATATCTAACAATTCTGTCAACCAGTAATTTTTGTTCACCTGATATCATGTAAATAAGGACCACTGGTCTTTTCATGCTGATATTTTTTCCATAATTGTTGGTGTACTTTCGAGACATGTTCGACAGTATTAGTATCGTTATAATTATACATAAATTGTCCTCCTTTATACTACCCTGTACTTCTATACCATAACGTTATCTACTGTACTCCTTAGTAAATCGAGGCACATTGAGGGAATGGCCTATTTATTTATTGATGTGTCAAATAATTCGTGGAACTGCACTAGGTCGATTCACTTCCAGGAAACCCGTGATAATGGAGAGATAAGTAAAATTTGTTGACAACAACATTTGATATTGTCTTGTGAGATATATATTTATATATCCTTTGAATTGACATTTCCATGTCTTTTTTATATATATAACATTATATGCTGGTAGTTAGATTACTTTAACAGGATCGTGACAACTTTCGTGCCCATCATCCGGATCTGGATATATTTTAGCAGTTTCAAGGAATATAGCCTTATATGCAGTGCGTAATGGTTTGTATTCACTCAAAATTCAGTGCTCACAAAGCAATATTTTTACATGTTTCAGTAATATTATAGCCGTATTGGTATTCACTCGAAATACAACAGGCTTATGTGTTTTAACTAGGATAGGAACAGGTATCTGCTCAATATATCATAGATAGGACAGCTCTTAGGCAGTGGTTCATCCAACCGTGATCATCAGTCACAAATTATTTTATTACGTACCCCGTGCATTTAGACTGTAATATGTCGGACGGGAGGGAATGACCTACTTACTGATATGCACAATGTACATGTGTTTTTCTTATGTTTCGTGGAACTTGCAGTTTCTGTGGGCGGTTCCAGGAAGCAGTAATTTGGGTTCACGTTAACATTAGACTTAAAATTAAATATGCATAGCATACTATAGTATGAGATACGTGCATATGCGTGGTATGAATGAAATACTTATCTAATATGTAACATGCATATAACAAATGAACAAAAGTCGTATAGCCTTAAATGATATTTGATATACAAAAACAAATAAAAAATTAAAATTAACAAGCCCAAGTAAATCGATTATAATATATCCTCGTTTCGTTAAAATGTAGTAAGCCAGTACCTATGGAGTAACTTCCGCATTATCAAGCAGAGGATATATTTGAGAGCTTCTGGTTGTTGTTACCAGGTAAACAGATGTAGTAGCTCATTGTAACATTTTAACAAACTGCGAAAACATAAGCAATTAATAATGATTAATAATAATACTCAACCATTAAAGTGTAAATTCGTTTACCTTATCACCGAGAGTACGATTCAGCTTTGAAAACGGAAGTGACGTTCAACACAACACGTAATGCAAAATTTAGATTTATGAACATAATAATTTTGTTATTTTGCATTGTTTTAATTTGGTATTTATAAAATACTTGTAAATAGTTGGTTTTAATGTATATCTAGTATGTTTTCATTTGCGTTATAATTGTGTATAAATAAACATGACGTGTTTCTAAAAATACTCGTTTGAAGCTCATAAACATATATTTGTAGTCCTATTACTTTTAGTTGGAGATAGAAAAGATACATTGCTTAGAGATTTAATTTAGAGATAAATGTCGAACTACCAGATTCCATTTTAAACTGACTACAGAGAGGGGAGTGCCAATATTGATGATATTTGTATAACATTTTCCACCAAAACTTCGTGACTTTACGGTACGTAGTGAGCGTGTATTCGCTATACATCGGTCATACTTAAATATGGCAGTTATTAGATTGTGTCTTCATGAAATGACAATATTAGTTCTATTTCGATGAAAAATGACAATGAGTTTATTAACTTCGTTAATTACATATATCAAAAGCCAAAACCATAAATGATACGTTAGTCAATACAAGATCCACGAATATTATACCATCTACACCTTATTTTCCTATGGACATTTGCTTTGATTCTTTCAGTAAAAGCTGATGATACTCTTATGCATCATACAGTTGTTATATTAATCTGTCAAGTTTAAGTCGTAAACTGTAGTAATTGTCTTTTACTTGTCAATGTCATTGCCACTATCTGATACTCTAAAGATCGTAATATGTTCTGATTAAAAAAATGTTTATCCAACCATATTACCCGATTCTTATCCATGTCCTCTTTAGTCTACTTGTACATTCAACTCTATTATATCTTGCAAAATAATTTGCAGGTAACCAATTGCAGCGTGATTCTTTTCCATTTGGATCATCCAGTTGTTTTTGGCAACTTCACTTGGAGGCCTCTGCAGCAATTTTTTGGTATTTGTTAAATAGAATCTCATCTGGTTTGCTGGTTGCGATCTCTATTTCCTTCTTCGACGCGCTGATGTCAATATTCACCTCCACTGTACATTTGACACCAGCGCATTAAAGAAAGCGATAGAGATTGCAATCAGCAAACTAAAGCACCAGGCATTTAAAACATCATAGCTGAGGTGCTAAAAGCAGATGAAATGTTTGCCGTCGATTGGTTATAACAATCAGACAAAGTGACCAAAATTTATAATATTGGTCTCTTTTTCGGACCAGAGCGATTTTAAACCTCTTTAAAATTATCTGCATTTCTCGGTAGTTGTTCGTTCTCGAAAGTGGTCGTTTGTCCGTTCTGGTCTCTCACAATATCACACGATCTGTTGAATATGCTGGAAGTTCCTTGGTAATCCTTTATATATCATACCAATTTTTTCCTTTCTTTGTTGTGCTGCTGCAGAAAGGTCTCGTATGTATATATCGTATTCCTTCTAGTGTATTTGCAACCATTTTTTTTCATAATGCTCTTAGAATATATTGAATGTTTCGCGATTGGTCATTTGGAGTTTCCACGAAGCTTTTTCTTTTTGATCTCTCTCCTTTGTTCTATAAATTCACATTCGCCTGCTGAAATCTAGATTTTATCCCCTTTTGCGGTCTTGCCTCAAACTATTTCACTAAGATAGTGATAATTCCACAAATAACAAAAAATAATGCAACATATTTTTCTATTTAATGATCAATTACAAATATTGTTTTCAGTACACAAAACTAATTGAAAATAAGGAGAAACTCACTAAACGACAAAAAGTGATGGCGACCATAATTATGGGAATGATAAAAAACACCAATGTCTGTCTCCCTTTAAATTTCCAGTTTAATTTGAGGTCCATCATTTCGGTCACCATACAAATCACTGAAGACCAAACGGATTAAGTTTTGCTCTTCGCTTGCGTTGTTTCATCGAGGTTTTATAATTTCCAGTCACCATGTAAGCGACAAGGCACAAAGGATGACGTTTTTTTCAGGATGATGATGATGATGATGATCAGAAAGGGAAGGAGTTCGAGTAGATTACATGCAAAGACAGTACAATCAAACATTAGAATTAGAAAACAAATTACCTCAATAGAAAGGAGTTCACTGCCGTCGACGGCTTTAACAGTGATAACATTATTTCGTCATATTGAAGAAAACGAATTTCCTTTAATAAACGTTTCACTTCGTCCTTGGTGTGATATTTTGGATTGTTTTACCGAACATCGACGACTGATCTGCGCTTTTCTAAGGATACCAAAGAACCCTCTCGAACTAAGAAATATTTGATTCGATTTAAGCAAGACAGACCATATCGTCGTGTTTTGTTTTCAAAGTACAATCATCTTCGTATTCGAGAAGGTCGATGTCTCCAGAATCGTCCTGTAATCCATCCTTTATTTTCTTTCCATATAATATGTGATATATGCAGAATTCGATTTCAGAATTTTGCACAATCAATGGTGTCTTCATACACACGTGGTACAATTTCGCCGCATAGCCCGTAGGGATCTCGAGTCCCTAGTGTCTTTTCATTGGAAACGAAGTTATTTTAGGAGCCTCTAAGGGAAACGTTCCCATGCTCTGCTATCCACAATGAACTGTCTGTTAAAGGATGCCACCATCACATCAACAATTTTGTCTACAGCAGCAAACGTCTCTGCTACATGTGGTAATAAGTCTGAGATCTCTTCTATTGTACTGTCTCTGCTACATGTGGTAATAAGTCTGTGATCTCTTCCATTGTACTGTCTCTGCTGCATGTGGTAATAAGTCTGTGATCTCCCTTTATTGTACGGTGTTTTGCATGTAGCCTTCTGGATCCCTTCCCTTCCTGATAATCATAATCAGTTTGAAAACAAACATAATCTTCTTGTACCTCGTCGCTAAATTGCGACTGGTAACCTCCTTGCTGCATATAAAAAGCACAATTCTTAAGTGATTTGTATGGTGACCGAATTGATAAACCTCGAACCGTAGCTTTAAAGGGAGGCACACATAAATAGTTTCTTTTATTGCCACATGGTCGGTTTGTTTGTTTGTTTGTTTGTTTATGTTTAACGGCCCATCGACGGCTGTGGTCATTTAGGGCCATGGTGATTTATTTATTCACTTTACTTTTTTAACAAACATGTGAATAGCGAAGATAAAATCAGATAAAATGGTTCATTTTAAAAGTATTCGCATTGTATGTGTAGATAATTAAAAATAATAAAAGGGGGTTAAAATAATAAAAGAGATAACGAATAGATGATATGGAATATGCGATATATATATAACGTCAAAAAGGATAAGGTGGGTTAAAAGACATCAGAGTCTATAAAATAGACCGATGTCTTTCAAATAGTTAAATAATGCCTTCGAATCCACGGAACTGAAAAGTGTTTTCATATCCGGGACTCGGAAGTAGTTATCACGAATGTGTTTAAAATCGGAACATTCTATTAAAAAATGCTCCACTGTAAATGGAGTGTCACATGCGTGGCATGAAGGTATATCTTCTCGTTTTAAAAGGTACGAATGAGTAGGATATGTGTGCCCAGTGCGGAGCCGAGCGAGGACAACTTCCTCTCTACGATCTTTCCGACTGGGAATAGATGTTTTAAGTTTCGGTTGTATCTTAAAAAGTTTGTTGTTGGTCTCCAGAGACCAGCGTTTCTGCCATTCATTTTGAATGGCTGTACGAATAGTAGGTTTAAAATCTGTGTATGGTAGTTTGATATTTGTTTGTTCGAGATTCAATGCATTTTTTGCTTCCCTGTCAGCAAATTCGTTGCCTTTTATTCCGACATGGCTCGGAATCCATAGTAAAGTTATTTTAGACTTTTTTAATATACGAGATATTCGATGAGCAAGGTTTTGTACGATTGTGTTTTTAGGATCTCGTAACTGTAAACTCTGTAGGACAGATAGAGAGTCTGAACAAATAATTGCCTTTTTAATGCGGTGTTCATCGATATGGTCGAGGGCCAAACCAATGGCGCATGCTTCAGCAGAAAAGATGGAGGCGCCGTCTGGTAGTCGGACTGAAGTGCAAGTATTGGCAGTACAGCAGGCTGCTGCCACTTTCTCACCTTCTTTGGAGCCATCGGTGTAAAGTTGTGTATGAGAAGGGTAATTCGAAATGCATTCCCGAAAGGAGGATTTGTGTTCTTCGGGCATAACACTTGATTTCCCTCGCTCATGTAATGTAAAGTTAAAATCGGGGGTTTGAATGGTCCACGGAGGAACATCAGATATGTTAAATTCAGCTATGTCCGTCAATTTTATGTTGAGTTCTTGCAGGAAATTCAAAATTCGGATACCAAATGTTGGCAGAAGTTTTTGGTTTTGCGTAAATATGTTTTGGTATTTGGGGTTGAATACTTGGTTGAAAGCAGGATTTTTAGGGTTTGATTTTAATTGAGTTGCAAATTGTAATGAAAGTTTTATTCTTCTGTCATAAAGGGATGGTTCATTTGCTTCCACGTACAGGCTTTTTACAGGTGTTGTTCGAAAAGCTCCCAGGGCAAGACGTAGCCCTTGGTTATGGATTGGATCTAGCATCTGAAGGTACGAACTGCGCGCTGACCCGTATACCATAGAACCATAATCCAGTTTTGTTCGAATAAGTGATCTGTATAGGCGCAAAAGCATTTCACGATCCGCTCCCCAATCAGTATGAGAAAGGACTCGTATAATGTTTAACGCCTTGGAACACTTATCCTTCAGATACTTTATATGTGGTATGAAAGAGAGTTTCGAATCAAAAATGAGGCCGAGAAATTTAGTCTGTTCAACAACAGGAATTCTAGTGCCATCGAGTGTTAGATTTGGGTCATTGTGTGCTTTTCGTTTTTGACAGAAATGCATGCACACAGTTTTGGATTTAGAGAATTTGAAGCCGTTTTCGTCTGCCCAATTTTGTAGTTTGTTTAAACTCTGTTGAAGTTGTCGTTCTATCGTGTGCATGTTCTTAGATCTGTAACAGATCAAGAAGTCATCCACAAATAACGACCCTTCTGTTGATTGACCAAGACATTTGACTATATCATT